TGGTCACCTCCGGGGCAGGCGGGAATCGAACTCATGTGGAAGTGGCTTTAGATTCTCAGTGCAGTGCTTTAACCTGCTGCGCCACCAGGGAGGGCCCCCATTTTTATTTTTTAAAAAAAGTTCCTTTATTTTGCAACTTTGCCTCCAGCGCTCACAATATATTAAGGTTTAAGAAAACTGACTTGAAGGTAGATGGCCTCTGGCTACCAACTTTTCTAGGTAATTTTACAAGAACATAAAAAGCAACTAGTTTGTGGGGGAGAAGGTGCTTCTCCTCACTAGGAATCAGGAAAATGGGGAAAAAATGAAACTAAACGACCATTTCAAACCCTCAGAGTTTAAGCTTAACATTACCAATTATTGACAGGTATACAAAAGAGGAGCTCATACACTGCTAAGAATAGTTATTCATTTTTTTAGACACTTTGGAAAACAGTTGGGCAATTTCTTATAAATATATACTTACTCAGCAAACTCACTTTGACCCAGCAAAGTCACTCCTAGATATTACCCAAGAAAAGTAAAAACTGAGTTCACAAAACTGTGTTTGCAGGGACCTGATTCATAATCTCCACAAACTTGAAACCCAAATTCAACCGGTGAATAAGTAAACTGTGGTAAACAACATACCAGGAGCACCACTAAGAAACAAGAAGGAACTGCTGATACATGGAGCAACATGAATGTATATCTAATGCGTTGTGCTAGACTCAAAAGGCTACATACTCTGCAGTGTCATTTTCCTAATACATGGACACCACCATTATTGTCTGTAAGATCAAAAACAACCGACAACAGCAATAGAACTGATGAGTAAACTGAGGTATATTTACAACAGCAGAAATGACTGAACTGCAGCTCTAAGAATTAGCACATGAATCTCAAAAACAGTGTTGAATGAAACAATCAAGTCCCAGAACATTTCAATATCATTTTATTTAGACAAAATTCAAAAATATGCAAAATAAACAAAATACTAGTTAAGGTATACATTTAAATAGAAATCCGAAATGAATTCAAGAGAATTATCAAACCCAGGATCGTGGTAAGCCAAGGGAGGGGGACAATTACTCGAGAGCTTTGATGGTTAGTGTAGCCAAGTTACTTCTACAAGTATTGGGTAGAAAAGAATTGCCTTATATTTAAATCTTAAATGTTAGTTACATTTTTATAACTGGTGAAAATGATCAATAAGTGAAATTATGCAGAGTATGTAGCCTTTTGAGTCTAGCACAACGCATTAGATATACGTTCATGTTGCTCCATGTATCACCAGTTCCTTCTTATTTCTTAGTGGTGCTCCTGGTATATTGTTTACCACAGTTTACTTATTCACCGGTTGAATTTGGGTTTCAAGTATGTGGAGATTATGAATCAGGTCCCTGCAAACACAGTTTTGTGAACTCAGTTTTTACTTTTCTTGGGTAATATCTAGGAGTGACTTTGCTGGGTCAAAGTGAGTTTGCTGAGTAAGTATATATTTATAAGAAATTGCCCAACTGTTTTCCAAAGTGGCTGTATTATATTTGCATTCCCACCAGGAATATATGAAGGTTCAGCCACTCTGCTACATTAGTATTAGGGGTTGTCACTTGGAGGGATAAGGGAAGAGTGTATAGTGATGTTGCTGTTTTCATTGTCTCTAAATTATTTTCATCACAAAAGTAATACAACTATTTGTAAAAACCTGCAGAGGCTCTTGATGTAGAGGGGAATGTGCATTTCTCTTATACCACTCTGGATTTTTGAAAACCAGAGGTTGTGGAGCATTTCTTATGGTCACTGAAGAATGTTGACATCACGAGTAGGCAATAGATGGCTTTTAACAGCACTGCAGAATTTCAGTTTTGTGTTTTGTTTCTTCCAAAGAACCTGGACCCTTTCCTGGAATTGTGGATATTTTTGGAGCTGGAGGTGGCCTTCCGGAATATCGAGCTAGTCTGCTGGCTGGGAAGGGTTTTGCTGTAATGGCTTTGGCTTATTATAGGTATGAAGACCTCCCCAAAGACTTAAACAACCTTCACCTGGAGTACTTTGAAGAAGCAGTGAACTACCTGCTTAATCACCCTCAGGTTGGCACCTTTCTAATTTTTGTGGTCTACATGTCAGGTCTACTATGATCTTCATAAATGCTCCTGGTTTTCACAGAATTTGACAAATTCATGACAGGCACGCTCTACCCCCAACACACTGTCTTCTTATAGACGTAGATAGAAAAAAGAAAAAATTTAAGTTTTGATTTTGCCAAATTCTAATTCCATGATATTGGAGTCTCTGTGTCCTCCTTTGAGAAACTGAGATTTTAACATTATCACCTAATTCCTTGTATTTGTATGAGGAATACATTGTTGAAACAAGTCAAGGGTATTACTGTAGAAGCCAGAAGAGAGAGAAAACATAAAAGAGACTGCTGTTGAGAAGTCAATGAAGTGACCATTTGTAATACAAGATTTTGGCAACTGTGACAATGGCTGTCCTTCTAAAGAATACATGCCCAAATTACCCTGAAGGGATTAAACAAATAGAGAATGAAAAAGGAAAGAAAACTACAGACAACTTTTCACAAGTTGTGCTGTGAAAGAGTAGAAAACTAGGGCAGGGTGAGTATGAGGTTGAGAGGTTGTTATTAAAATTTGGGAGCTATGAAAGCTTTCAATACATTGATGGGAATGAGCCAGTAGAGGAGAAAGTTGAGAGAGACAATGCAAGCATAGAGGGGTGACCTTTAATACTTCTTTGGAACAGGAGGGAGGGCAGAAAGCTTGAGTTCTAATTAGATTTGACAGGAGAAATGAGGAAGAGTTCTGATCTGATAACTTCAATTTTCTCCATGAAATATAAAGAGCTGAAAGTGAAGCTGGACAAATAGGAAGAGATCCCATGAGATGGAGATTAAAGTGAAAAATGTTGTAGACAAGGTCTCAATGAAATAGAAATGTGTGGTACTCAATGGCTAAACTAGAAGTGTTTAAAAATGATGACCAGAGCGTAGTGTTTGAGACTGAGGTTTTAGAGATGCTGTGCTTAGGAAGGTTAGGTTTAGGTTCTGACGATGGGAGTGAGTTGCTGAGGAGGGGTAGAGTAAAAGATTGTTGGAGGTATAGTCAAGGGACAGAGAGGCCAATATAGTTGACAGTTCATTCATATGGCGTTGAAGAATTGTGAAAGTGAGATGAAGAAATGTCAGAGACCAGCTCCAACTTTTGAGGTGTCTGGAGGCAACACAGGTAGGACCCTAAGATGGGAAGGTGTTGGCGGGGCAGAGGAGCAGGTGCGAGGAAGACATGAGAGTTGGGTGCAAATCTTCCTGCTCTGCCTTCAGCAGAGGTTTATTTTATACATTTCAAGCAGGCAGGGGGATGACATTAGCATATGAAAGGGGTTGAGATTACAATCACCTCTTTTCTAAGAATAGTCTGGGGTCGTTTTGACCTTTACTTGAGATTATAACATTCTAAAATCAATCAAGGTTAAAAAACAGGTATAAAATAAAAAAATACATATATATATATATATATATATATATAAACAAACAAAAACCAGGTATATAGGTGCACAAAGTTTAAGTCTAATATTACTATAGTGGAGACTGATAAAAATAAAGCCCTTTGAACCTTATCTATTAGTTGATGGTTTTTTCTACCTGAGACATCCTGGGAGGCAGGAAGAGGAAATTTCTTGCAAATCAAATTTCGGAAAAGTTCTTTGAAGAAACTTGCTAAAAGGTTTTAAGTGAGTTTCCTTATGGTCTAGACAGTAGAAAGCTAATTTGCTCTGAATAGGAGACAGAGGTGAATTTCCTTATCTAAAGACTAGATAGTAGAATCCTGAAAGACTAGCCAGAAAGACTTTTGTGGATTGCTATGAAGTGTAGCAGGTAAAAAACTTGACTAGCTCTAAAACAGGCAACCTGGATGAATTTCCATAACTAAAGGCCAGAGAGTAGGAAGTTTGAATAATTCTTTTAGAAGCTGAATAGAAGGCTAGGTGAGATAGTAGAAGGACAAGATCTGGATTTTCCTCCATCCAGCAGTGAGAGACTTTGCAGAAACAGCCCTTTTGCTTTTTTATTGATCAGCCAGTTGTCAAGTCACTTTTGACTTCAGAGGAATTTCTCACCCTGGTGCAGTGCTTGCTTGTCAGGGCAGGCAGGCCTTATGCGCCTGAGGCAGTCCAGTTGTAAGCTGAAAATTGCTCAGAATATTTTGATATTACGATTATACAAAAAAGGGAGGTCATAACATAAGTTAGCGTGGAAAGTCTGATTTTTCAGAGCAATTCCCCTGCATCCGTACCGTGTCTGACGACAGAGGTTGCATAGTTTGTGTCAAAGAAAGCAATGGGAAGTAAAAATCCCAAGGTTGCCAGCGTTGGTAAATGCAAGAACTTGGATTCAGCCTCAGCTCCACCTGACTACCAAGTTCTGGCACCATTCACCACACTTCATGTTCATGAGCTCATTCCCCTTTTTCTCTTTCTCAGGTAAAGGGCCCAGGAGTTGGGCTGCTTGGAATTTCCAAAGGGGGTGAACTCTGTCTTTCCATGGCCTCATTCCTGAAGGACATCACTGCCTGTGTCATAATCAATGGCTCTGTGGTCAATGTTGCAGGCGCCTTGCACTACAAGGGTGAAATCCTGGCCCCTGCACCTGTCAACCGAAATCGAATCAAGGTGTCCAAAGATGGCTTTGCAGACATTTTGGGTGTCTTTAATAATCCTTTGGAAGAGGCTGACCAGAAGAGCTTGATTCCTGTGGGAAGGGCTGAGAGTGCCTTCCTGTTCCTTGTAGGGCGGGATGACCACAACTGGCACAGTGAATACTATGCCAATGAAGCCTCTAAGTACTTACAGGCCTCTGGTAAGGAGAAGCCCCAGATCATCCTTTACCCAGGGACAGGGCACTATATTGAGCCTCCTTACTTCCCCATGTGCCGGGCTTCTCTGCACAGCTTAGTGGACCGTCCTGTCATCTGGGGAGGAGAGCCTAAGGCTCATGCCATGGCCCAGGAGGACGCTTGGAAGAAGCTCCAGACTTTCTTCCACAAACACTTGGGTGGTAAGGAGATGATGCCAGTAAAACTGTAATCTTTTACTCTGATCACTGACACTGATCTTTCCTGAGAACAGCTGCTGCAATTAGTGCGCATGTGGTTTTATTCTTTTAAATAACTCCTTAGAGTCCCCCTTGTTCAAATGAACTTACCAATTAATTCTCAAGATTTTTAGAAACTACATACCTTTTCAGTGATTTGGTGAGAGTGATTCTGCAGAAAACACCAGAGGTGGAAAAACTGTGTCAACACCCAACTTACAAGGCTCTCGCCCTGAAACAAAGAGTAAAATCCATTAACAGTGCCCTGGATTGAATTATTACTGGTGCTCATTGTTACTATTATATGCACATTTGTTTAATTTTATTAATAAATAACTACTGTGGGAGAAAAACATGTAATGTTAAAAATGGAATCAGTTTTGCATTTCTCCTTTAAGAATGGGAATTAATAACATCTAAGCTGTAAATTAATTAACAATGAGATGTAAATCTACTAAAACCTTTCAATGCAAATACATTCTTAGTTTCTTGTTATCTTCTACTTGGGTAAATACAATTCTCCTAATGCCAATAATTTTAAATTCTGTCCCTGTTAACACACGTGGACCTTTAGGAGTATGTTGCTTTGCAATCTAATAAAACCTTATTTAGATTAATTACAAAATGATTTTAGTAATGATTAATGTGAAGATAAATGCTGACTTAATATTTGAATTATATAATTCCACAATAAACTTACTAAACTTTTATTAAAGCTTAATATATTTAAAATAAAAAATACCTTAACTTATTTTTATGGTATGGTTTCCTCAGTTTTCATATTATAAAGCAATTTCTGACAATTTTTTTTTAAAGATCAGGAAGAATTTTTTTTAAGATTTTATTTATTTATGCATATAAAAGTTAGTGTGCAGGCCAGAGGTGGGAGGGTGAGAGGATTTACCAAAGACAGAGTGGGGGGCAGAACAGGTGGATCTATTGAAACACCCTGCGGAGGGTGAAACAGGAGAGGTCTGCGGCACCATGTGGGTCAGTTCCCTGGCCAGGGATAGAACTCATGCTGCAGATAGCTTCATAGTGCTGAGACTCAACCTCTTGCAGCACCAGGGAGACCCTAATTCCTGACAATTTTTTTCCTCTGAAGTTCAAAAGCAGTACAGTGCTCTTTTTTGTCAGCTTCTCCTTCTATACCACCATGTGCTCATCATTTAATCCTTATGCATTTGTGAGGCAGGTGTCATCTCACTTTGCAGATGAGGAAATTGAATCTCAGAGAAATTCAAATCATAGTAAATGTAGAGCTGGCCTTAGTATCTTCCAATCCACTTTCTTCTCTTTGTTAAACCTGTGCATGTTTTCTGCAGGATAAATAGCTCCAGTCAGAGAGAAAGGAAGTTGCTATTCTTTCTCTAGCAAAATTTCAGTGAATTTCTAGATTTGCAGTTCAGGTGAGGCAGGGAGTGTTTCAGAGTACCAGATATTAAAAATACAATAATAGATCTAGAGTAGCTTACAATTAACTATCAACCCTTGATTGTTAATAATGTATGTTATTTGCCTTTGCTCCTAACTCTTTCCTCTTTTTAAACTTTGCTCTTCCCACTACTGCCTATTAAAAGGATTGTTTCTACTCCAAGGACTCTGGCTTTGATCCTTTCATCTCAGACTTGCTTGGCCCTTCCGCCTCTTTCCTATGGTCCCCTGCCAGAATGTGCCTTAGACAAGTTTTTAGTTCTTAGTGTCCCAGCCTTGGGCCTGCTGTTTGTCTGGGCATTTACCCACAAGGGATTGGTAACTTTGGGTGTTTCATTGGGAAACTATTCTCTTCTCTCTTTGGACACAGTAATCCTATTAAAGTTCTTTCATACTAAGGGTTTGCCCTTCAGTCTGCATGTTAGCAATTCTATATACATTGGCCACATTATGTCAGCTTGTTAATAGACAATTAAATGGTATGTTCATGTGAAAATATATGTGTGTGTTAGGTTCTGCATGATGGAGTTGATAGAAAGCATTTTAAGAAATCAAAGTCAGGTACTCAGTGGTAGTCCATGCTAGAGTAGACATAAATAAAACAGGAGTGTGGTATAGCTACAGAGCTAGAGAATTGCTATGTGGTTGGTAGCCTCAAACACATAACTGAACAGGCAAAGGGAGACCTTAAAGATTTAAAAAAGGGGAGGATATAATTGACATTACAATTCACAAAAGTAATTTGGTGGGTAGTAACCTCAAGGATACCACTGCAATATTAAAGAGCTGCGCTATAATGGCTTATAGAAGTATGGACCTTTTGTGTCTTATACACTTTATAGGATCTTGTAATTTCTTGGTACTTTCTAGTTAGACCCAAAAGATGGAGGGAGAGAGGCCTTTCCTTCTGAATAGTATATGGTAGCTAGCCCATTCTGCATGGACATTGGGATGGCTCTGGAGAGGCCCCAGGAGCAGGAACTAAGAAGGAGAGGAAACTACTTCATCCTTTAGAAGTAATTGAATGGGTCACATGTAGCTAAACCAATCCCCATGACTAAATATCAGCATCAAGGGCTAGTTTTGCTTTTCTCTACTCTTCCTATTTCAGTCCTAACTCTGCTTATGCATATATGATCTCCCTAAGCCAAACTCCAGCACCTTTCTTTAAAGAAATTTATGGCCCTACAACAATAGAATCTAGTCAAATCTACAGTACAGAAAAGTCTTCCAACATAAAGCGTTACTCTGCAAGCCTGTGATGAAGCTCAACTTTGTTTTGGTCTGTTCAGATTTCCACCAGAGTTCCCACACTGGGTACAGATCCTCCTTTAGAGCACATACGACTTGTGGCTCTGACAACACTCAAAGTTAACCCAATTTGGGAAAGTTCCTCACAGCTGGTGTGGTAAAATGTCACCAGTATGCCAAGCCATGAGGCAGAATTTCAAGCCATGTTGGTTCTTTGTTCCTTTGCTATTATATAATATCTACTTGGAAAAGTGCAATTGTTAAAGGTTGTTCTAAATGCCAGATTCCAAACTTAAACCCTACTTAGCCTTATAGGCACTTTTCCCTATTTTCAAAAATTCACTGGATGAAAGTTAGATTCAAAAAACACAATCGGGGCTCAAATTACTCTCTACTCACGTAATTACTCATTATTATTTGGTTAGCATTTTTCTTTTCATTTGTAATCTATGCAAAACATCAAGATGCATTTTTCAATGTGAAATATACAGAATAGTACATTATGCAAACGTACCACTAATGAATAAGTTTAAAGTTACCTATGTAACTCAAACCTAACACTAATGTGCAGGTTTTTAAAAAAGCTGAATATCTAGTTTTCTTTTTTTTAAAATTAGTATACAAAATCATCAGACTAATGCTGGAAAACCACTGAAAGAAAATGATCCATTTCTATATCAAATAAAGTCTAAGAATCCTATAGTCTATAGGTCCTTAACTACAAATACCACAGTGCTCATTTAATCAGGATAAAACTTAAAAATGTTTTATATTTCTATAAGCACACCTCAGAGATATTGTGGGTATGATTCTAGATCACCATAATAAAGCTAGTATCATAATAAAGGTAGTCACACAATTTTTTTTTTTTGGTTTCACAATGCATAGATGTTATGTTTATACTATCTTGTTGTCTATTAAGAATACATAACCCCCCCCCCCAAAAATACATAACTTAACTTAAAAACATTTTATCACCAGAAAAGCTAACCATCATCTAAGCCTTTTTTTGCTGGTGGAGGGTCTTGCCTCAATTGGATGACAGTATGATACCGTTACAAAGGGCTGGTCTCTCAGATAAGCACTGACAAGTTTGCCTTCCCCATCTCTTGCAGTCTCCCGTTGTTTGCAGGTTTGTCTTCTTGCATTCCAAGGAAAAGGGAGTCAAAGAGCAGTTATTGAAAAAAGCAAGCTGGCGCCCACCTGCCTCCATCTCTGCCCTTTGCCTCCCCTTTGTAGACCCTTGACCCTCTCCCCTGCCTTTTTTTTTCCCCCTTTGTAAAAATAATCCTGCAACCAGGGCCCTCCCTGGTGGCACGGCGGGTTAAAGCACTGCACTAAGAAGCTTAAGCCACTTCAGCATGAGTTCGATCCCCGCCTGCCCCAGAGGAGAGGAGGAGCTCCGCATGGCGAGGCAGACCTCTCTTGACTCGCCCGCTGCTCCCCTCAGCAGTGTACTTCGTGGATCTGCCTGTTCTGCTCCCCGCTCTGTCTCTGGTGAATCTTCTCACCCTCCGCATCTCTAGCCTGTACCCCAGTTCTGTATGAATAAAATAAATAAATCTTTAAAAAAAAATAATAATAATCCTGCACCCTGACAAAGAGCAGGATGGTGGTCTTTCAGATCTGAGTCTGCTGCCCTCATTTGTTGGCAAATTAAACCACTTTCCTTTTCCTCAAACTTGTTCCTTTTGTGGGCTGAGGAAAACAAGCTGGCATTTGGAATCAGTCACTGATTCGGGTGGTGGTTTGCTAAAGGTTGGGTTGGCTGTGGCAATTTCTTAATAATTGCTAAGGTCTTAGGATTTTTAGAACAGTGAGTGAACACTGACTTCAACCCTAACGCTGACATTAGCGCCTAACAATAGAATTGCCTCGTCCTTTGAACCCTTGAATTTAGGCATTGACTTCTCTAGTTTAGTTATCAAGGTCTTAGACGTGATTGTTTTACTTTTTTTTTATCATTCATGTGCTCACTGACATAGCACTTTTATTTTTTATTTTATTTTTTTTTAAGAATTTATTTATTTATTTGTGCATACAGAACTGGGGTACAGGCCAGAGGCTCAGGGGCGGTGAGAGGCTTCACCAGAGACAGAGTGGGGAGCAGAACAGGCAGATCTACAAAGTACACTGCTGAGGGAAGCAGTGGGCGGGTCAGGAGAGGTCTGCCGCGCCATGTGGTCACCTCCGAGGCAGGCGGGAATCGAACTCATGCGGAAGTGGCTTCAGATTCTCAGTGCTGTGCTTTAACCCGCTGCGCCACCAGGGAGGGCCGACATAGCACTTTTAATTACCTTCAAAAACATTTCCTTTGCATTCATAAATTGGCCAACTGTTTCGCATCAGAGGCCTACCTTTCCACCTGTCAGGTTTCAACATGCCACCCTCACTAAGCCTAGTAACTTTCAGCTTTTGATTTAAAGGGACAGACTTGGTACTCTTCCTTCCACTTGAACACTTAGAGGGAGAGAAACAGGAACAGCCTCTGGTGGAGCAGTCCGATATCGCATTCTCTATCAAGTAAGTTCATCATGGCACCTCAAAGCAATTACAGTAACATCAATGATCAGCGATTACAAATCACCATAACAGATATGGTAATAGTGAAGCTATCTGAAGTATTGCAAGAATTACTATAATATGACCACAGACACCAGGTGAATACATGCTGTTGGAAAAGATGGTGCCAAATACTTGCTCTGTGCAGGGCTACTACACACCTTCAGTTGGTAAAAAGAACAATATCTGCAGAACATGATATAGTAAAGAAAATAAAAGGAGGTATATGTGCAATTAGAAAAAAATTCAGCCTTGGAGGAAGCACAAACTTTAAAGTAGGCCACCAACTGGGAACTGTAGAGAAAAATAATAGGGAGGTTAAATCAGTTCACTCGAGTTTTAAGCACATGTAAAGTGTCCAGCCAGTGTTATTTCTTCCTGTTTTTTCATAGAAAGCACTATTTTTAACTTCCATGTTAAAGTCCATC